TCCACAGCAGGAGGGGGTTACAGAACTGTGCATTTGGTCACACGCGTGTGTGCACACGTACACACACACACACACACACACACACACATACACACACATACAGACACACACCAGCATGTGGAGAGAAGAGATTAGGGGAGACAGTTAACGCGACTAGCTGATGGTTTGATCAAAACTTTCCGTTTTATAATCCAGATTTCATGGAGAATGAATTACACAAAGCAGCTTTTCCCCCGGAGAGGAGGTGCAATTGGCAGCTGATGATGCGATTATCGTGTGACTCTTTCCAGCCAGTAAGGAGCAGTCAGACTGCATGGCAGCCTGCTTAAAGTCAAGTGTGGCTGTGGTGGTACTTTGGAAGGCACCCAAAAACAATGAGAACTAATGCACAAGCCCCTCAAGAATCTCAATAGTTAAAACTTTCTTTTTCCCCATGTTGCTGTCTTATGAAGGCGATTACATGGGGAAATTTGTTGTTTTAACTCAGTGGAGAAGAACGTGAAAAAGGGAGCTGAAAACTGCAACAAGCCAGGCAACTAAAAAGGCAGTGAGCACATAAATTTAAATATATTATTTCACACGGTTAGACAACGGGAACTTGTTACTATTGCGTTTCACTGAAATATTCACATTTAATTAACTATGAAACCATAAGATCAAAGTTTGTGCCTGAACTATTTTATATACGGACAATATTTTCTTCTGGAAGTTGTCAGTAATGCCCTGTATTTTGTGGGGAGTCCAACGCAATTTTAAATATGATGCATCTCTTATTATGAAGTCGCTTTCCATTCGGGTGTGTACGGCCTTTGGTTTGTCATCTAATCAGCATCAGTATTAATGTAGGTGTTCTACCATCAGCCAGATTCACTTACATGACGAAGGAGCCGCAGATCTGATGAAGACGACATATCCGGGGGAATGAGGGAGGGGGGGTGCTGACTGAAGTAGCTGTAATTGAATTACCTGCTTCTTGTCTGCATCGCTGCCGGCTTCTGGTGACACAGGGATTAGTCATAAGAGTGACTTCCCCAGCAGACATACCTGGCCATGCAGGGACCTTTATCAGACGTGAGGCTAATTATAGGCTATTCGCTCCACAATGATCTGTGGTCCACTTTGTTACTGTCAAATATACAATCGGCGCCTTTCATCCCTTTGTTTGAAGGTATTTCATTAAATCCACAGTTGCACATTTATTTGGGGATGGAGTATGAGGTTTCAGAAATAAGACAATTGAAACTTTACATTTAGAGCTGTCATACTCCTTGATTTCTGCCTCGGAGACTGTGTAGATTTATTCAAACTGAATAGGAAAATCAATCACTTATTTAGAGGCTTTGGGCTCCTGTCCTTCAAAGTAGACTGTGGAGAAGGTGTAAAACAGTAGGATATGGTGCAAACTGTGAGAGACGGTGCCATCAGCGGGATTTAACAGACAGCCAAGCTTGGTAAACCAGCGCAGATCCATTTGTGAACTAAAGTCTCATCTTTCTCCAGCTTTCTCAAGCCGATGTGCTTCCTGGGTGCCGTTTGATGTTATGTTGTCAAAATCACCTGGAATCCACTGGCCAATAAGCTTGTCTCAGTTACTCTCGGCAGTTTCGGTATGGACACAAAGCACAGCAGTACTGCTGAATTGTAGCTTTACTTCGTTAAGGAGGATCTCCAAGAAGAATTGCACAGAAAATGTTTGTCTTTATGTGACTTGTGTTGTTTAGTTTAGGTGGGTGGTTTGTTGCACATTGGGTTAGGTGTCCGTGCTAGTATCTGGAAGCTTGTAGGTTCAAATCCCATGACTGGCTGAGTTACCATTTTGCTGTTGGGCCCTTGTGGAAGGTCTCTAACCGCTAAAGATGCAGGCTGACTCTGTGCTCTGACCATAAAAAACTGTGTTCTCACCTGTATGTACTTGTATCTTGTGTCTTTCATGGAGTAAACAAAACTACCCTGTTAAAAATATTGCTATTTTCTTCAAATGGCAATTATTTTGTTTCATTTTCTGGCATATAGGTCACAGCCGGAAGCTTCATAGACTTTATACAATGTCCGCATGTGATACCAATGAGCCATTTTACCAAAAAAAAAAAAAAGTTTAATTTTAAAAATATACTTTGAATATATGCTGTTAAGTGGAAAGGTCTTCTGGGGATTGTCTTCGGGTAAAATTGCTAGAAGCTTTTATTTGTCTTTATCTCTGAGGGACAGAAAATAATGTACAGTATAAAGTTGAACTGATTCTGTGATTACAGCTGATTGTATGCTGTAAGGTAAACAGCACTATATTTGAGTGATGTCTTAATGTCGAACACATTGATTGACAGGCAGAACATTTTCAGGAATAAATGACTCACTCAATAACACTTATAGCAGGAAATTACTGATGTTTCAGGAGTACATTTTACTTTCTCTAATGGTGTCAGGTGGAAATGTTCAGAAAATGAAGTATGAGGTTTCCTTTCTAAGATGCATGATGTTTTGGGTACCCAGATCATTTTTTGTTGCTGCACAAAACTAAATAGACCAGGGTTCGAGTCTCCACCATGGCTCCATGTGTGTGGAGTTTGCATATTCTTCCAATGACATCATGGGGTTTTTTCCGGGTACTCCAGTGTCCCCCCACAGTCATGCTAAGGTGAATCGGAGTTACCATACTGTGCATGTGTGCCCTGTGATGGGTTGGCACCCCATCCGGGGTTCTTCCTTGCCTCCTGGCCACTGTTTCCGGGAAAGGCTCCACACGCTCACAACCCTGCATGGGACAAGCAGGTATGGAAAATGGAAGGATGGGTGAATTCTCTCATTTCCATTAACATCTGCCTTTGCATAAATCAGAAAAAAATCATTGTAATAAATGTTGTAATTAGGCGTGCAGTGATCTGACTTTCTGTATCTAGCGCACGGCTAAGCTGAATTTGAAAGACAGCCTGTCTATAATGAGAAAGTGAGACAGTGTTGCACATCCTGTGACTCAGCTAAACATGCAGCAAGCCTCGAACGAGCCTGGAAGTGTGGAATCGGCCTGGACAGATTTCCAAAAGACGCGCCAGTGTAAGGCACGGCGTCAGCCCTCAGCCCCAGACGACCTCCTGCTCGAACCAAGGCTTCTGTGGCCTGAATCCCCCCTCTCTTCACACATGGGATGTCTCTGAACGGGATGCTTCATGATAGCAGTGCTTTTATTAGAAAATGACCCACGTTTAATACTCAGGGTAAATATAATTCTGATACAAGATCCAATTCATAGCATTTTTCAAATCTAATGTCACACAGCAAGCTAAATTGAGATTACGTTATCGCTTCAAAGCGGAGCGAAGTTCGGGTGGGGGGGGCGTCGCATTATGTTTCTACTTGCGCCGTCGCAGTGGAATCCGTGGCACTGTTAAAGGATCCACTGCCCTACATTTGCTGAGTTCTGAGTTCAAAGTGCCCCCGCAGCAGTGAAATCTGGGGACATTACGTCACGCTCCGCTTTCTGCAGACGCTGCCTGTCAGCTTGGCTGAATTTCATTTTTCACTGATGATACGCTGCACTCGAGCCGACAGTGGGGGTCGGTCACATGACACAATGCGACCAACATAGCTCAAATAGGTCCGAAATGAGGAAGTGAGTCTCTCCAAGACTAAAAAGACATTAAAAGACCCATGAATTTGGAATACAATGTTTAATCTGTATTTTGTCATATCATGACATGAGCTGACGTAGTCTTTTCCATTGTGTGATCAGAATGTGCACCAAGCAAACAAGTGAAAGCTGCTCTATAAAAATTAAGCAATTTATTTTCATATGTGCAGTGTCTACACAACAAAATTCTTAGTTATACATTGCTCCAGATGATAAAAGAAAATGAAAACAGAAAACAATAGCACAGTAGATAAGGATATAAAATATATATATGGTGGATATGCATATTTAATATCCTTATTTTGACACATAGCCAAAATCAGGTGCCCTGCACAGTCTAGATAAAAATATTAAAATATACACACAGTCAAGTGCCTCCTAACAACATTTCGGTCAGCGATGGACCGCATATATAATAAGATTATAATGGAGTTGAAAATTTCCAATCGCCTAGTGATATCATAATCGTTATAACATCGTAGCACAACACATTGCTCACGTGTTTGCAGTGATGCCGGTGTAGACAAACATATTGAGCTGCCTGTTGCATGACACAGTACAGTACATACAAGTATCTGCAGTACATGATACTTCGTAGTGTTAATAAAGAATCATGTTGCTGGTTTATGTATTTACTACACTGTACAGGTCGTCGTCAACTTACGACCGTGATTGGTCCGACGGCCCTTTATTTTATATGAAAAAATGATCATCATGTATAGTATACTGTATCATAAAATTAAATCTTTAAGTCATATTGTTTGGCGTTTTTAACCTTTTTATCACCGTTTTCTTAGTTCGTTGCTGCCGGCAGTTGGGGCCAAAACTGTCATACGCTCAGACTGGGTAACACCCGCGTTGCCGGCTGCGGCACAGTCGTGGCCACATTTCCGCGGTCTTGGAACAGTCGTAAAGTCAATCAGTCGTAAGTTACGTAGGTCGTAAGTCAACAACGACCTGTACTTTTTATCGTTATTTAGGCTATAGGCCTACCATATAGCCTAGGCGTGTAGTAGGTATGTCATCTAGGTTTGTGTAAGTATACTATAATGATGTTCGCACAACAACAAAAATGCTTAACGATGCATTTCTCAGAACGTATCCCTGTCATTAAGCAAAGCATGACTGTGCATACATACATAAAGTATCCATAAAAATATCAAATATGCATATGAATACGATAAAAGTACATGAGCTCATCCCAGGTGTATATAAATCTCTGATTAAATGTGTTCATCATTTAGAGCTTACTATGGTGAAACAAAACTCATTATTAGTCTAGATAGAATAAGTTGCGTGGACGGGTTTGACCTGGCTATCTGTCTGACCTCGTCACTGTCTGTAATCATGGCTGTCTGCCCATCTTCTCTCCTAGGCTCAGGTCCTTCTAGTAGCCCCAATGGAGCAGGATGTGGAGAGCCCAGTCACTATCAGACAGCCCAAGCTGCCTAAGCAAGCCAGGGAAGACCTCCCCAAACAACTGGTGGACAAAGAACAAGGCAAACGGAAGATCCAGAGGTATGTTCGCAAGGACGGAAAGTGCAACGTCCATCACGGAAATGTGCGGGAGACGTATCGATACCTGACGGACATCTTCACCACCCTGGTGGACCTCAAGTGGAGGTTTAACCTCTTCATCTTCGTGTTGGTTTACACGGTGACATGGCTGTTCTTCGGCTTCATGTGGTGGCTCATCGCTTACATCAGAGGAGATCTGGAGCACATAGGAGACAACCAGTGGACTCCCTGCGTCAACAACCTCAACGGCTTTGTCTCTGCTTTTTTGTTCTCAATAGAGACAGAGACCACCATTGGGTACGGCTACAGGGTGATCACGGACAAATGCCCCGAGGGTATAGTTCTACTCTTGGTCCAGTCTGTGCTGGGGTCTATAGTCAATGCCTTCATGGTGGGCTGTATGTTTGTAAAGATTTCACAACCCAAGAAGCGGGCGGAGACTCTAGTTTTCTCCACCAATGCGGTCATCTCTATGCGAGACGGCCGACTGTGCCTGATGTTCAGGGTGGGCGACCTCCGCAACTCGCACATCGTGGAGGCATCCATCAGAGCCAAACTGATCAAGTCCAAGCAGACCAAGGAAGGGGAGTTCATTCCCCTCAACCAAACAGACATGAACGTTGGCTACGACACCGGCGACGACCGGCTCTTCCTGGTGTCGCCGCTCATCATTTGCCATGAGATCAACCAGCACAGCCCTTTCTGGGAGATCTCCAAGGCCCACCTAGCGAAAGAGGAACTGGAGATTGTGGTCATTTTGGAGGGCATGGTGGAAGCCACTGGTAAGGAGTCACATGATGAGGTTAATGTCACACTCCACTGAAAGGTATATATATTTGCACAGTTTATAGATGTGGAGGGAGATGCTTCATAGGCCAAATACCAATTTTGACTATTTTTAAGGATAGCTAAAAAGGTAATGTAGACTTCTTTACTTGTGTAATTAGTTTTAGTCCCTTTGTTCCTGTGCCTGATATTTAAGAAAGCCATATCATACATAATGATGAAGCTAGTGACTTGTGCTGAATGAAAAAAGAGGATCGGTTAGGTCAATTAAGGCATCAAGATACGTCAGACTGGGACTTTGGGTGATAAGATTATGTGCCAACCAAACTCCCGAGACCCACGGGGTGTCTGTGAGGTCAGCTGCTTACAATGGGACTATTGTTAGAAGATTTAAATCGAATTGGAAGGGCAGGTGCAGCCCTTGGTTGTGTAACCAGCTGCGCTGATGTTAACATGGCCGACACGTGTTCCCATCTGATTACTGAGACGGCCAAAGCCCATTTATATACCACAGTCACTCTACGGGGCCTCTTTGCAGACCGGTCATGTTATAAAACTGGTTCATCGTCCAGATAAGTTCTGCTCATTTGTTCAATTTCAGTTGTCTTGTTACACTCGTAGTCGCATTTTGGAGTTTTCCTTAATTTTTTTTGACACAACCAAAACGGGTGCCCTGGTCTTTATTTCAGGTGGCGGCATCATATGTCTCATCCTCGAATCTCAAAACAGCCCAGTTAAGTGGCAAAAACACTAAATCTGCTTCTGGGGGAAGTGGATTTCACACAGCTGTGTGGATGAAATTCGGGACGGCAGTGTAATGTTTACAGCCTCAAGGGTATTTTTCAACTACATATGGATTTACAAACAGACTTGTGTCTGAATATATGAAATCACATTCTGTTTGCCGCCCTAGGTGGCATAAGAAATCATTATTAGAAAAAGTACGATATTTCTCTAAATAAACCGAAAATAAACTCATGAATAGAAAAAAACACAACCGGTGGCACGGTACAAGCGGTAGCTATTGCAATTTTCTGTCACCCTAAACGAATGGTTCAGCTAAAGAGGAGGAACGGGGTTGTGGTGCGCCAGCGAGCGCCGCTGTTCCAGAAACCGCAGAGCGTCCATTTCACAGGGAGGGGGCGGCAGAGGACGAACCCCCGGTGTTGAGGGGGGGGGACTGCGCATTTTCACGTTACGTTAGCGAGGTAGCGATGATGCGGTTGAGTCACTTTGTATATCCGGGGGCTGCTCCTGCAGACTGCTGGCCGGACACCGGGCCGCGATCAGGAAAGAGCCGCTGTGGATTGGCTCAGCTGATCTTGCTCCGAGTTTGTTTTCAGTTGAGTGAGCAGAGAGCCTTGTCCCCACAGGCAGAAACAGCATAAATGTATTAATATCGAACCAGAGCCAGTGGAAAGACACATAAAAACTTTCTGATTTAATTTTTTTACAAACTCCTCTGAATTCTGAGATAAAATCCTTTCCTACACATCCTTGTGCAATGCAGGTATCCTGGCTGGTGTTTGATGTGACTTTTACTTTGTGCGATGTGTAGAGAAGAATCTATAGTCTATTTTTGCACAGTACAGCAAACGATGATAATGTAAAAAAGACATTGATATTAGGGTTACGTACAAGAGACCAGGCTTTTGGGGAAGACAGAAGCCCAGCTACCCAGAAGCTGCACAGTTTGGTAGCCTGTTCTCCAAAAAGTCGCATGTGCTCATTTGACCTCTGTAGGCTTAATTCTGGACAAACTCCAGACCCCAGGTCCAGAAATCAGTCTGCACATTTCAGCCTCCCCCCTCGTGCTTTCTGTTTCGTGGCAGCCTGATATCAGACGATGTGCAAATTAGCCAAAGGAGCTCAGACAAGCGCGCCGACCTTTTCACTCCATTCACTTTCCCTCCACAAGGTGCCCGCTAAGGCTGCTTTGAAGCATACTAGCCCTTTGCTGACTAAAAAACAACCTAATATAATACTAATGGCATTGTTTTTGATAACAAAATGGGCATTATCATCTGAAACTACTCAGCAACAACAAGTGCCACTCCAGGAATCTGCGGATGCTTCCAGCAATTTAAAAAAGGAAACCGATTAAATATTCAAGAGCGACCTGCTTGGTTGCCCTTTTTTGTCAGCCACCAGTTTTAAGTAACAGTTAACAGATACGAGCTGCTTTTCCCACCGTTTTCACGCCGTTAGCCTCTGAGCCGTTACCGTGAGTGCACTTTCCCTTACACGCCATCGACTGGATCTCCTCTGTGCTCCTGCAAGGGTTTTCCTTCCTCATTCAGCTGAAAAAAGGGCTTTGTGCACATTTTTAATGAGGATTAACTACCCATAAATTATCTTCAATAAAAGTTTTTTTATGACAGTTGTCACACAAAGCCTATGTGTGCAAAGCGTTCAGCATATGACTGCATTTCTATATTGTTTTGTTTTATTTTTTATTTTTTAACAAATAGCAACCTTTAATTTTAACCTAAAATGCATAAATGGAGGAATGTGTGTGTGGGGGGTCATGCATATATTATATACATTATATATTATCAACTGTCCCCACAATTTCATAAAAAATTTGACATTGTGGGGACCACGTTTTCAGTCCCCACAATGGAAAATTATCAATTTTTTGCAATCAAAAAACTAAAAATGACAAAAGTCTTGTATTTTGTTTGGTTACTTATATTAAGGTTAGGGCTGGGCAGGGGTTAAGGGTGTCACTGCTGGGATTGGGGTTTTGCCAAAAGAAATTAATGGAGAGTCCCCACAAAGATGTAATTACAAACCTGTGTGTGTGTGTGTGTGTGTGTGTGTGTGTGGCTAATTCAGCGGCACCAGGGTATTATATATCTGGAGGTATGATTAAACGCTTTCCATTAAGTCCTTGTTAATTCAAACCCTCACACACCATCAGCAGCACCATCTGAAGTGAGGTCAGAAAAATACTTGGCGTCTGACAAATGTACGCACTGAACTCATTCTTTGCTGTGGCAGTTTCTTAATTACACAGATCGGCTGCTTTTGTCTGAAACGTGACTGGCGACGGCAACTAAAATATGAGGCGAAGCATGTTCAGTTACAGGCTGAAAAGGGCTGCCGCGCAGTGCTGCTGTTTGTCCGACTTGCCCCTGCTGGTCAGCGGCGAAAATAGACACACGTCTGACAAGAGTCCATCATTCTGCCTCGTTCATTGTCCTCACCCCCCCCCCCCCATCTGTCAGGTTAATCAGCAAGCGAGTGCTTGCCGTCAGGATTTCCTGGCAGAATGACGAGGGATCGTCAGAAGGGGGGTGGATTCACACGGGGAATTAACGAGATAAGAAAGAACCAGAGAGCGGCCATTAGCCTTTAGCCTTTTGTGTGCCCATCCAATAAAAAAAATCACTGTGACTGGCGCACATGCAAGCTAATGGATCAACAGCTTTAAAGCCCCATAAATGATTCCGGCAATAATTGATATACATGGCAGATATACAACTTAGGCAACACATCTGGCTATATGATGTGTACGGTCAACATGAAAGCTAGAACCAGAAAAGGGTGGATTTTTTTCGATCGTATCAGTGCTTTTAGGAAAAAGACGCTCTTCTTATGCCAGTGTGCCACTACTGTGCTGTAGTTTGAGGGGTTGCCATGGTGACCATGTTTGCTTCGTGAGTGCAGGCAGGGATTCAGGCACAAAGTGAGCAGGCAGGAAAGCCCACTACAGTTATGCAACCCGCTTTATCCGAAAGGCAGGCCACACCAGCCAATGGGCATCGCATTATTATTAGCTGTCTTATTTAGCGAGTGGGTGGCAGCGTTCTTGCATTGCGGGATTTATTTTAACCAAGCACTTGTGTTCTATTGTTTCAAAAAAGAGGCTGGTGGTCTGGGCCTGGATGAAGCCTTCAGAGGTCAACACTGTGTTGGGGGGCGAGGGGCTCCCAACCACAGGTCTGGGTGCTGAGTTTTGCATTCTGTCTGCATTTAATTGGGTTGCCAACTTTAGTCAGCTGGCTAGCATGAGATTTTCAATTCGAGACAAGTCTGCACACAAATTTACACGTATGTAACAGTTTTATTGTCTTGTAAATAATGTGTAGGGTTTGCCAACTACCCCAATGCTGTTGATGCAGCTAATTTTAGTTTATAATGGAATAATATAGACCATCACCAGGAAGTGACCATAGAATGCCGTGGGGGGAAGTGCCGCGCACGTCTCTCTGCCTTTCTTCCGCCTCTGATGACCCCTCGAGCGTGTATCTCTGTGCGACGCTTTACAGCCGCCGTGTCGCCAACCCAGATGGGCATCGCTACTTCAGTGGCCCGGGGTGTACAACCCAGAGAGACCTAACACATGGGGGAAAAAAACTACAGAAACACCCCCCCCCGGTCCCTGTTATATTAACATCCATTAGCATTTATAAACAATGAGGACCAGGTCAGGGTTGAAACCATAATAATCGATCCCGGGGGGAATTTTTGTGCATATAGCAGCAGCTTACATACAGTGCAAAACAGACAAGGTGAAAGATAGTATACATACTGCAAACAGATTAAAAAGTATACAGAACACAAATAGAATGCTGAAATCAAAGAATATTATGGGATAGTAGAGATACAGAATGGTGATGGGATATGTGACTGGCATAAGGCAATGGTATAATTCAGCTTCAAACCAGTCGGCCATGTTTAAGAGGTCACACGCACATAAAAGTACACTCATGCCACTCAGACGGCCAAACACATGTGACTTCATGTTTACTGATGTGCTCCAGGTTAATTTCCGCACCCGAGTGTACAGAGGTGGTCCCAGAACTGCCTCTTTGGCAACAGGGTCGTTCCAAGGCTGGACTGGTCATCTGGCATAGCAGGCATTTTCCTGGTGGCCCCAGTGAGATTTGGGCCAGCAAAAATTGAGCGTGGGGGACCCCAATATCCAGAGCTGATTTTTAATCCTGGTTCAACCATGGGTCTGGATCTTCATCACCCCAGGTGGCAGTAA